TTTTAAACGTTTATTGTTTTGTTGTTTGGTTAGGTGTTTCATGAGAGTTTCAGGTAACACTCCTTAAAGTTACTTTCCACCTCAGATTAACACCCTATAAAGTGTGYCACATAAGCATTTTATTTCAACAAACATTGAGGCGTTGAGGGAAACAAAAATTTAAAGATCCCCCAATGCTACTGTAAACAATTTCAACCATTTCTATTTCTCAGTATTTATTTGATAAATCTTGAAACYAAATAGTGGTTTTATGTRCAATAAACACTAATATCTATGTAACACCAAGATGTTTTTTCAATAAACGCCCAAAAAACCAAACATAGCGTAGATAACTTGATCGAAAGAACCAGACCTTCAAAGGACTACTGTCTATTGTCGTAATTAGATTGATGCCCCCTCTACCAAAGGATGTAATTTGATCATAAGAAACACCGACCMAGACAAACACTAACTCGCGTACAATATCTTTTATTAATATTTTTCTAAGAGAAATTACATCAACCCAGTTGAAACTTCAACAAAGAAAAATCAACCAAATGCAACCCCCTTCTCTCTCTCTATTGTGAGACGGCTTTGATGATTGTGTGTGTATTTAAACAAGTAGACGAGTTGGTTTTACATGCTTGCAAGGAAGAGGAGACGTGGGCTAACCAGAAAGCGTCGCCACTTCTCCCGTTAGGCATTCCAATTTCCACACAAACAATTGAATTCAAAATAAATAAACAATACAATAACAATATATATAAATAATTTATCCTAGAAGTTAAAACAAGAAAAACGCCTGATACGAGTCATCCCACCAAATTTTCTCCTTGTTTTGGTGATCCCCACATGTCAACGCCCCTCGATCAAGACTCCCAATCCCTTTATTTAATTTATGACATTAAAGGTTAGCACATTTAATCCAAAAGTTGAACAACTTATTATTAATTTTTACATTTCATTTTTGGTTAGTTCTAAATTATGTATTTCATTTTAATTATCAATAAAAATAATTATTGTTTATTAAACTTTTTTAATTTGATTAACAAAAATATCATAAATGTGTCTAATTTTTATACATTTTTTTTGTAAATTTTTATATTTATTTCTATTTTAAAAATTTTATTTCCTAACTATGACATCATAGTTTGATCAATTTGATTCGGATGGTTGAATTTCTTAACCACCACTTGGATAAAAAATGGCTTTGTTTTTGAGTTAGTTTTAAAATATATGAGTTTATATTGTTAAAAAATATTGACATAGATCTAACTAGTAGGAATTATCAGTGAAAAATAACTTAAAATATAGGATTTAATTAGAGAAAATGGGATTTAATACCTTAAGTATAAGACTTAATGAGAGGTGATTAAATGAGGTGGAAAGTAATAATTGAATTTTCATTTTCAACCCTTACAATTAGAGATGGATTAAATACAAAAATGTTGTCATTAAGGTAGATAAAGCTGCCATTAAAACTATAATAAATTGGCTTTTATACCCTTTCTCAAACAAAGAAGTGTGGGTAATTTTAGTCCAAAAAAAATTCACACTTATATATACTATAAAAAGTGTGAATATCTCCTCTTGTTTCTGGATTTTTTAAAGTAAAATATCCCTCATTTTAAATTTGGTCACGACAAAAATTGTAATTTGGATATTACTTTTTAGAGCATTTCATTCCCTCATTAAGTCTCATGTTTGAGGCATTAACTCCTATTCTCTATCATTGAATCCTATATTTAAGGTATTTCACTCCATCCCCATAAATTTTCACTAATTAAATCCATAAACACTAATATTAATGGTATAAAATATATTTTTAAATCAACTAAAAGCTAAACTGATTTTTCTAAGTGGCAAGTATGTAGTTCTACCATTTGGGTCAAATAGGTGAATGCATGATGTCATAATTAATTAAAGGGTAAATTACAAAGACCCCCTGTACTATGGGGTCTGTGACAAAGACCTCCTATACTTTGTTTTGTAACAAAACCCCCCTGTACTATGATTGTAAGACAAAGATCCCCTTCCATTAGCCTTCCGTCCAAAAAGACTGTTATAATATTTTTTAATCCCCATACTACCCTTGAAGATGGGAATTGAAAATACCCCAACGTCTGGATTGAACCCATTTAATCCCAACTACAGCCACGATGATTGCTTGTTTCAAACTTCAGAGTTGAGAGTTCAGGCATCGACGCCGTAGGATTGTACCAACTGGTACTTGAAGGCTGTTTTGATGGGAATCCCTGTGTTCCGACTACCAAAGGTGATATAAGCCGGAGATCCAAGTACCTACCTTCCACCTGAGCTTTCCATTAATCTTGATTTTGATCAAGACAACACATGGATAGAGTTTCTATAAACTGCAAAACTACTTGCATCCAAGAGAAAATGGCTAGGTTCGGTCTTAGGGAAGAAGACGATGAGCTTATCCACGATGCCGTCCCTCTCTACTCCACGTATAGTGACCAGATTCGGCCCGTCCTTGACACTGTTGACCAGCTGTGCCACCTCAAGACGATGAAGGAAGGCATTGAGTTCCCCACCATTGTCATCATCGGAGACCAATCCTCCAGCAAGTCTAGTGTTCTCGAGTCCCGCACCGGCATCAGCCTCCCTCAGGGTATAGGCATCTGCACTCGGGTTCTTCTCGTAATGTACTTGCAGCATCACTCTGCAACCGACCCAGAACTCTACTTGGAGTACCATGACAAGAAGGTTGACACTGATGAAACCCATGTCAGAGAAGCCATTGTAGATGCCACCAACGAGATCGCCGGCAACAACAAAGGCATTTCCCATGGTGAAAAAGAAGGGCATCATTGACCTCACCATGGTTGATTTGCCTGGGATAACTAGGGTCCCTGTTCTTGGCCAACCCCAGGACATCTACGAGCAGATTTCCAACATCATAATGGAGTCCATAACGCCCAAGGAGTGCATCATTCTGAACGTCTTATCAGCTATTGTTGATTTCCCAACCTGCGAATCGATTAGAATGTCTCAGTGCATTGATACCACCGGCGAGAGGATGCTAGCGGTGGTTACCAAATGTGATAAAACTCCTAAAGATCTGTGTGAGGAATCGCATCAAGAACGAGGAGGCTAGGGTTGAGGAGGTGAGACTGTTTTGGCCAGGAGACTGGTGCAAATCCAAGCTTCTAGTCTTGCAAGATGCTTGCCGGACATCGTGACGAGCATCAACGACAAGCTCAACCTGAACGTTTCTGAGCTTAACAAATTTCCCCAGCATCTATCCTCCCCAGCGGAAGCCATGACTACTTTCATGCAGATTCTTGGGTCTGTAAAGGAATCCCTCAAGAAAATCTTCTTGGATGCCAATTGATTCCATTGCCATTTTCTCTGGCACACAGATATAGTTTCTGTAAGGAGGCTAATATGTACAATTTTAGGTGAGGAAGTTCCCGTCGAAGATGTTAAACTAGTACACTGTAGCGTCTTGCAGTGTGAACTGGGGCTTGAAAGGTTGGAGGATCGCCCATATGAGGAAAGAATGRGAGAGGACGGTGAGGGAGGGGAAAAGAAGAGAAGAAAGGAAAAAGGGCAAAAAAAGAAAATAGAAAAAGTTTAGTGGGGTATTTTGGTAATTTAACACATTCTATCATCTATCTTAACTATCCAGGGGGGTTTTGTCTCATGGTTATAGTACAGGGGGATCTTTGTTGCAAAATAAAGTACATGGGGGTCTTTGTTATAGACCCCATAGTACGGGAGGGTCTTTGTAATTTACCCTTAATTAAATACTAAAAAATTAAAAATACATAAATAGAAAAATTATAAAATTTTATGCACAACTCTAATATTATATATTTTTTATATTACACAAAACTAGGTATGATAAATAAAAAGTATTTTTATTAATGATGGAAATTGGATACAAAATTTAAAACTATCCATAAATGAAACCATTTTGCTCCTTGAGTGGTGGGTTAATGGTTCAACTATCCAAATCATTGGATCAGCCTATGATGTCCTCATTAAATAATATGTTTTGAAAAATAAAAAGCATATAAAAATACATTAAATAGAAAAATTTTAGACACATATCTAATATTATATATTAATTAATATTAAAAAAAGATAAGTGTGATAAACAAGAATTTTTTAAATACAAAATTTAAAACGCTTCGACTTTATGAATCCAGCCCAAGCGTTATGATTGATTGATTACCCATCATCACTACCGCCTCACAAGAAATCATGGGCCATCTCGATATTCTTTAAGCGCTAATAAACAATGTTTTCATGAGTCATGACTAAAAAATAGGAGTCAGGCATTTCAGCGTGAAAATTTTCCATTCAATTGGGCCTCCATCTATCATTAAGGTTAACCCTGCTCAGCTATTCTTCAATATATGAGCTGAAAAACATCTTTTATATGTGCTCAGTGCTCGTGCCATTCTTTTTACCACGTCAATTTTCGTATGCGCATGAACAGTAGGAAATTATACAACAACAAAAAAAAAATTTGAATAAACGAAGAAAACACTAAATTTACAAAAAAATTAAAAATTAAAATATAACAAGAAATATTGTGTTTTAATATGCATATATTCGTTTTTATATATTTTCTACTATCATCGGACTTTAAATGAGAATTTTAGTAATATTACGTTTGAGGTTGAGGCCATTAACGAGGCAGGGGCAAAGTGTTGGAATCTGAAAATTCAGGATATGTTTTCGTCGCAAAAGAAAGTTCCAGGGGGGTGAAGTGTTACTGTCCCAAAGTCGGGGGTGGACGATTGTTATTTACCCAAAATCATAATATCTAGCGGTAGATGATCCACTGACTTATAGGGGTAAAATCGTAATCTAAAAGAATTGGGATTTGCTCTTTGCTCCTGACGCCGACCTCACAGCCACATTTTACCGTATATTGAGAACATCTCCTTTTAATAATAACATACAAGTTATTATGCTGTGAGGTCGGTGTGTGGAGTGCTGTTTATGGAGAAGATCCGGGCCCAATCTAAAACTGATGGAGAAACACCCTGACACAAAGCCCTAACCTCACAGCTTTCGAAGTAAAAGCTTAGCGGACAGTCGGAGAGAGACAATACAACCCTCTCTCCTCTTAGCATGCTCCAAGCTTCTGAAAACCCTATTCTCTGTTCTCGAATTAATTCTCAAGCAAAGTCATGGCCGGGGTCAATAACGAAACCACAGAGGAGCCACCGTTGCCTGCCAAACGAAAACCTGAACTCGAATGCATAGATGATGACGACGACCGAAAAAAGAAAAGACCAGATATTTCTGATAACGATATTCCCGCTGTGGAAGAGAAATCTGACAAAATCGAGACTAACGTCGAAGCAGAGGCGGACAATATTGAGGGCGACGAAGATGAAGAGGATGAAGACGACGAAGACGGCAAAGAGGAAGAAGAAGACGAGCATTCTAATCGAAAATCTGTTGCCGATACTAAAGGGAAAGGGATTATGAAGGTAGACAAAGGGAAAGGGAAGCTGGAGGCAGAAGATGGAAGCGACGACGACGACGACGACGACGATTCCAGTGATGGTGGGGATCACTCAAACGACGATAGCGATCTCTCTGACGATCCTCTTGCTGAAGTCGATCTAGATAATATCCTTCCTTCTAGAACTCGGAGGCGAGTTGCTGAACCTGGAGCTTATCTTGTCAATGATCTTGACGAGGATGACGACAGCGACGATAGTGATGCTTAATTTGAGCAAGGTTAGTAGCTGTGGAGCTACATTTTCTTTAGAAAACTTGGACTTCATGTGGGAAGCTTAAGCCTGTCCTACAAACAATGTAGTATCGTTGAACACATGATATAATACAACTTCCCTGTTATGGATTATTTTCCTTCCTTTTAATGCCCTAATCTTTTGCCTCACGCACTGTCATTGTTCTTCTTTTCCCTTTATAGTTTTCATTATTTACCTGTCATGCGTTCCCAACATGAGATTCATTGTGGCTTTCTTTCTCATATGGCTAACTCCCCCCCAAGAGGGGAGCCTTGTTTAGCTAGATTTTTATTTTTTGTTCACGACGTCGCTCTATAGGCTTCTAACCAGGAAATTTGCAAAAAAAAGAGAGATTTTTGTTAATGAACGGAAGAACATTGCCTCTTAATAGAATAACTTATCAACTGGGCTCTGTCACATATATTTATGAACAGTTGGTTTTCATACATTTATTTTTTTTTTCACTTACAATTCATAATATTTATAGGGATTCTTAGGAAAGGGGACATAGATGCTCACTGAGCGTCAGAGTACTAGCACTTAGATTGGAAAAACCACAGAGAATTTAATTTAGCCTTTCAATTCCCACTCCACTGCCTTCTGTTATCGGTAGTTTGACCATTTAAATTACAATTGGTAGGAAGCATGCGGGGTTCTTCGAGTTTTGATTGCTAAAGGCTTCTTACACTCAATAGCTGAATAGCTGTGGAAACACAGTTCAGTTATTGGATATTTTCTGAGGTCTTATGATTTTAGGAGGTGATGAATAAATGCCTTTCATTTCAAAGGATCTGTTATAAGAAAAACGGGAACGAATGGTAGGCAAAATTTGACAGTACCTTGTTGGTAGAGGGGTCTTTTTGGTATTTGTTATACCACATATTAGGGATGCACAGAAAACCTAATTTGATGATAAAACAGCTTGTGTGCTAGATTGTTGCATTGAGAATATTGAAATTTTAGCTGTGGACATGGAAACAAATTGCTGAACCACATTAAATCTTCTGTACCACAAGCTAGGCCTGCACAGTAGATTAGGGAGTCTTCACAAAGTCCATTCTTGTAATTTTTTCCTAATCATAATCAAGTGCATCTCTGTACTCTGCAGTCTGTATGCTATAAAATGGTAAATGAAAAAAGCAAGAATCTTGAGGATGTGGGCATGTATCACAAGTTCCAAATTGTCATGTTTTTTTTTTTTTTTTTTATCAGTATTCCAAATTTTCATGTTTGGAACAATTGACGTTCATCTTGATAGTTCTTACAGGATGAAGCTTAATAATTTCAGGAGCTAGTGCCAGTAAACAAATCCCACAAAATGCTAACTTGTTGAAGGTTAGGCCCAATTAGTCCACTCCTCCCAAGACCCCACATAACTGGGATCAGTGTTCAGTAATGACCACTGCAGGCAGTGCATAATTTCCTTGGGCTTGCACATTCCTTACGAGTTTCTCTGATGATGTCAAATGCTCCAGTTAGAGGAAGAAAGCTGTTATAGAATTGCAAGAGTGATTTACTTAATTCACTTCTTTTCTTTTCCAGATAACATGACTGATTAGGTTTAATGAATTATCCATTGCATTCTTAGTCCACTCCTCCCAAGATCCCACACAACTGGATCAGTTTTCAGTAATTTTTTTTTGAGAAACAGTGTTCAGTAATGACCATTGTAGGCAGTGCATAATTTCCTTGGGCCTGCACATTCCTTAAGAGTTTCCCTGATGATGTCAAATGCTCCAGTTAGAGGAAGGAAGGCACTCTAGAATTGCAAGAGTCATTTACTTTTTAGTCCACTTTTTTTTTTCCAGATAACATGACTAATTGCTCTGTTTCTTTGCATCTGTCTTAAATGCTGCCATACAGAGCATTCTAATCTGAATTCTTAAGGTCCCAATAAGCGGAAGGGTGCATTTCCATTGTATAACCGTATAGGACATATGGCGTATAATCATTTTATTCACCTCAAAAGCTGTAAAGTTCATTGGTTCTTTGCTTGTGCCCCTATTGTTCCAAACAAGTTCTTTGTGTAAGTTTCAAAGGTGCTTGCAAATGGCTAGGCCTTTTCTCATAAGTTGCTTGTGAAGATATATTACTGGGAAAAATACCTAGGTGCTTTTTTTTTATATCTATTTTCAGCGTTAAACCTTGTGAGCATGGTTTCATTCAATTTGTTCTTTAGCAATAGCTGCAAAAATCCTTTTCATAAGCATCAGTAAATCATAGTTTAATATTGAAATTTGATAAACTTCAGGTGTGCCAGGACTCTGTTTCAGGACAGCACTTGATCGACTACAATGTTATACTAAATATTTTCACTGGCTTACAAATCCCTAAATCAGATTTTCCCTTTAAGCTCCTTGGTCCTTGCCTAGGTAGAGAGTCAGCCATGCTATTTTCCACTCTTATAGAGTCTACCTGAATGAGCAGTTGACACTAATTGACAGGGTTATTGCTTCTCTAACAAAAAACTTTAAGGTTTAAGGCTATAGCTTTATCATTTGGTTATCCCAGCCTGACAAGAAACTTAGTTTTACCCTTGTGGGAGGAGAGCGAACAGTTCTTTGAGAGATACCATCACCTGCATGGCCTGAAAAACTAAGCAAAAAATTCCTAGCCATTAAAGTTGATCTTTATCTTACCTGCCCCTTCAGCCATCCAATCAACTGCAACCTTCTGCTTTTTAGTGGTACCATGCATTAGCTATGCCATTGAATTCTCCCTGTCATTGCCTATAGAGCAACTTTTATCATGATGTGAACAACCGTGATATGTTCATTTTTTGTTCCTTGTTCTTGAATATTTTTGCATCTCGTTCACTTAGCCCACTTCGGTGTAGTTAGCAACTCTCAATTGTCATAGTTTCTCTTCATATATAAAGCTGTTTTTGGATTGTAGTGGCTTTGTAATTGAATTGCACTTTTAATCTCTTAGCTCCATGCCAAGAAATTAAAAAGGTGCATTTGAATAAACATGGCATGTTATTTCCTGAGACGTGATCTTAACGAGTACTAATGCGGGATAAACCTGAAAGGGCCATTATTCAGATTTGTTCCTGGCTATGTTTTATCCTTTCTGTGATTGGTTGATTTGGTTCTCTAATAAAGCAGTTTCAGAATAAAGCATGAGAAAAAAAAAAAGAATTCAGTTTTGATGATTACAAAAACTTGAAGAAAATATTACAGAAAGATATCAATGGATGGCAGGAACAAAATCCAACTTTTGAGATGAGGGACACAGATCGCTAAATCAGATTTACTTGCACTTTTTTAAATCCCCGAACTTTTCTAGGTTTACTTACACTTAGTTTGGGCTATACCCCGATCTTCTCCATTTGGTTTGTTCTCGAACATATAGGCTAACAGCAGCTTGACCTTGCTCTTAAGGCTAACACGGTTACATATCTTAGTTTCAAGAGCTCTGCTTTGTTTTTTACACCAAAGTGGTTATAGCAGAGGAATCAATCTTGGTAGGGAGCTTGACCCCAACACATCACTGTGAAGCCTGTTGGCTATTGCCTTGAGCAAGCGCAGATCCTGTGTGTGCGTCTGTGTTTTGGCTCTGTTGCATTTTTTCTTGCATCTTCATTAAGTTTGTGGCAGTGGTCCTGTTACATGTGAAATACCCATGTCTGAAACATGTAACGGGACACAGTCACACATCGGAGAGAGAGAGAGAGAGAGAGGTTTTCGAGGTATATAAAACATATGTTATAACAAATCAATACATATGTTGAAAATAACAAATAAATCAAATAGCCATAGGGATGAGATAAGATTCCAAAACATGTGATGGGAAGAAAATTGCAGAGAATGAACTTGCCTCTTTCTATAATACTTCACTAAAACATTCAATAGAGCAGATTCAAAAGTTGACGGCGTTCCGCAATTTCCTGAGAACTATGGCATAGTCTAGGTGGGACAAGATGATAACATGATAACATCAGCTTGTTGATGTAACCTGTAATGAACGAGCCTAGGCGAAGAGTCTATTTGAAGAGAAGCGCTATACGAAGCGTAGGAGCTGTAATTAGAAAGCCTCCTTGAATATAACTCTTTCCAGAACAGGTATCAAGAAAGTCGTTCAATTGTATCCTATTAGCCGATGATCCATCTCATTCTCAGGTCTCAGCTAAATGGTTCATCGGCTAATATAGGATACAATTGAACGACTTTCTTGATACCTGTTCTGGAAAGACATGAGCAATTGTTATAATCTGTGATCCATTTTGAAAATAGTTTACAAATGATTGGCCTTTGTATACATGGTTTTGATTAAATAGCAAGTTCAGCTAACTTTCTTTACTTCTGGTAACTTCGTCAGCTCAGCCTCTTTCAGAAATCAGCTTTCTTGGAGCTTGATCGAACTCAATACCGCTGGGCTTCTCTTGGTGCTAGACCAGGGGCAACGCTGTAGACGTAGGGGCCCATCTGGGAGGGCTAAGTTTTGGTTGAGCTGTTTTCACTGAGCAGCTTTGAAGAAGTTATTAAAAGAAGCTTCTCCGGAAAGCCAATTTTTGGCTGAACAACAATGCATTTGGGCTTTATGTATTTTCCACTAAATATAGCTTTTAGGCTGTCCATGTAGGGCTTACCTTGCAAAGCTAGAATCTGAAGTCCTCTCAAATGGGCACGAAGGGCAATTTTCTCACCAATTAATCTTGTCTATTCTTGGAAACATATTGGTTCGTCTTCGTTCCGTTGTGTGTTAACTTGCTTGATCTTCCACTGATGTTTGGGTTCGGGCACTGGATCTCTCTCTCTCTCTCTCTCTGTCTGGTGGTGGTGGCGGAATCTTGAGGTGGGATGAAGGCATTTGAATTGATTGGCGGATCTAACGATTTACACCAAAGACCATTTTGTACTTGTTTCGGTTGATTGTTCATCATACTCAACCCTAGCAATTCAAAAGAACGTTAGTGTCCATACTCACCCTTAAATTTTCTTGTTTTGGCTTAAAACTGTGGCTGGTAATGGAAGCCGTCTCTGCCCCTGTCTTGTCCTGGGCTTCTTTATTTATGGACCAGATTGTGGGGGTTGGTTATGCTTGGGCCTTGGTGGAGATTTTGCTCAGTTGGGTCTGGCCCAGGTTAACCCGTGAAGGGGGATCTAATTGTAATCTTACATACCATGCCAATGCCAATGATTTGATC